AAAATTATGTTAACTGATTGATTCAAAGATGTGAAATATCTCAACATTTACAATACACTCAATTCTGTGTGTATGGTGTCCCATATTATATGAATTTAAAATTAGTTTTTGAATTGAATTAAAAGATAAAACAAAAATAAATGCATGGATTGTATCAAAAATTCTAGATTTAACACATTTAAACTATTTTCGCAACTTTAGAGAAATTATTTCAAAAATCTAATTGTTTTGTGTTTGACACGAGTGTTGGTCTAAATTGTTATAAATGTTAATTAATTTAAATTTCTAGAAAATACAAGAATTTACTTTTTTTAAAACAACTCTTATTAGTCTTATTAGTCAAATTAATACTCTCATAATTTATATAAATACTTATGTAAATGTAAAAGATATGAATGAATATTGAGATCATTCACCCAAATATTTTGAATGAATTTCAGGGTTAACTCGCTTATGATTTGGAAATGTCTTAAAAGCCAATGCCTTGAAACAGACATTCAAATCGTGTAAACAAGTAATGGAAACAAATGCTTTAAAAGTCATTCATTTGCAGCGATTGAATAATTGGATATCAAATGACAACATTTCTGACTTATCACACCTTTCACTCTATTTTGACAAAAACATTTTTGCTCCGACTTTTGACACTCAATTCAAGCTTTTTTTAACTTTCATACTTTCAAAGAGAGTTGAGTTGAGTTCATATTCGCTTAACTCTTTGAACCCCTTCCCCACCCCATCTCCACCCCTACCCCTAAGGCTGTGTTGAATGGATTCACAAAAATAAGAAACGCATTGAAGATAATTACGATCGTAAGAAGACATGTCTGTCCATAGGCTATGAGATGCACACATGGATTGCCATAAGCGTCAAAACACAGAACAATTTTGCCGTAAATATTAATTTGGAGACAAAATATATTGTTTTATTGAATACATACTAATTATATTTTATAACTATTTATGACTCGTACTTAACATAGCATAGTATTGCGGATATAAAGTAAAGATTTCTCTAACAATTTGTCAACAATTTTCTTATTCGTTAATCACAAGAGAATTAAACATTAAATGTGAAGTAAATCATTAAATAGTCATTTAATAAATGGTAATCAAAGGTTAAAACTATTTTTATAGCTTTTGATTAAATCCTTTTCCTCGTATTGAGTTTAGAATTATATTTTTATAAAAATAAGATTTATATTTATAATAGAGATTATAATAATTTGAATGTAAAATTTAAAGTCATTTTTAAAAACATGCCTCAAATTGAAAGCTTCTTAAATGGTTTCGCAAAAAATAAGTTTATTTTCCTTTTATCGTATGTTTTTGTGTCAACTCCTGAACTAAAACTTGAATTACAATAATATTAGTGTTCTCTTCATTAGAAATCATTAAATTGCACCAAAAGTTATGACTTGTTTTACACACAATTCGACATTTCATTCAAATCGTGCAAAAATAGACTCTCGTAATGAATTAAATTGAATTGAATCAGAGCTCAAATTATTATATTTATGAGTTGTTTTTAAAACCCGGTTCCAGTCCACAGTTTTCCCCTCAAAATTATCGCATAAATACATTAAATGCTAGATTTAGGATACAATAGCCATAAGAGAGGTGGTGGTCAGAGATGTGCCAAATATTTAGGCCAACATTTTCTCCCTAATTAACAATACGGCTATTTGGGTACATATTACCAGTTTTTAGCATTTAATTCTTGGAATTCAAGTGAAAAACACAAAAATAAAAATGAAAATCAGAATTTCAAGCCAATTATTAAATACACAAAACATTATAATCACTAATAAGAGTAATAAAATCTCAAAGACAAACAAAATAATTATATGATTAGCTCTGAATTACGAGAATTATGGTCTCGATTGCAGACAATTACTTCAAATGTAATGTTAACTTCATTTGAATGTTAGCCCTGAAGGCATCAATGCTCGCAACAAACCATACAATGCTATGGGAGTCCAGCCCTATGAGGACCCTTACTCTCAAACCATTGACTACTTTCTCAATATATAGCTATTTTAAAAATACTGCTTAAGTCTACTTCACTTGTTTTCCCATACTTGAGCATTGTTTTGAATTATTTGAAAACAAAATTCACTTGAAACTCATTTCAAATAATATTCTTATAATTATCTGGATTTTTCATTTTTAAAAGCTTTCTATTAATGTATTAATCTATCAATTGCATTAGGTTTAATGTAAACATTATACTGTTTAATGATTATTATATAACTGGAAAACACATTATCTCTTATACAATGAAAATAATTTATCGATAAAATTCAAATCAATTTAAATTTTAAAAATAAAATTAATTGCAATTTTTATTACAAGTTTGCTAACTATAGGATTAGTGTTTACATAAAATCTTATTATAAACATATTGTTATTTAAATCAAAATAAATCTGATTTTTATTAATATATTTAATTTAAAAATCAAATTAATTACTGAATCACAACATCATCCAAAAGCGTCTTTTACTTCAAACAATTTTTATAATAAATATATTTTGTATTTCTTTTCATAGATTATGATTCACTTTATGTAAGCAAACGAAGCCCTCAGGCATTCAAGGTTTACATACAAGTGCAGTATTTTTAGGGGTATTTGATATTAACTAAAGGAAAACCTATTCAATCGTTGAGATGGCTTGGGATGAATGTGTCTTAAGTTTTGTTTTTTATTATTTCTTATTGAATATATTATATAATAAAAGACTTCCTTACGGGTCGCATGAATATACTGTACCAGTGATTAACAATTTCAATGAATTTTATATATAGTTTCTAATTACAATGAAATTCACATTAAAATCAGTTTATAATTAAGTAATGATTTGCGAAAGTCATTATTGAATTGTATCATCAGATAGCGGCAACACTTATACTCAATAGTATATCAACAATAATAATCAGAATCATTAGAATTTGAATAAAAAATAAATAAAAGTTTTTATAACAAAATCAAATTCAAAATAAGCAGAGAATGTGTGATTCATTTTAAGCGCAAACTTACAAAATCATGGCATTTGTGGTTAACTTTGAAAATGTTACCAACTTTTCCATAATATTCGTTAAGCGAAATAAAAATGATATAAGAATTAGAAGTGGACCTACCATTCCCTACCATTCCTATTGGCAACCATTGGGTCCGGTGTTGAACGTGTGGATCACTTTCTACCGTCCGTTCAACGCATTGTATTTCATAAACAATTGTAACGATTTTTGGGATCCTTTTCGTGGCTTTACTTCTCAGGAAAGTTGTTATTAAAAGAAAGAATAGTTGAGTGAAGAGTGAGAGACAGACTCTCTTAGGCTCTCATAGAGACTCCAATTGCAGACTCTTTCAGACGCTTTTGTTCCCAAAAACCTGTAATGAAGTGCAGGTTTACGATCACCACAACAGGTCTCACGCGTCATCTTTCGGTCTTAGATCATACACATCACCAGTGGATCAAAAATAAACTCTTTAGACATTGTTTTGTATAATAATATTTATTTTTTATCAATTATTTCGTTTAAGCGTTTCGTTTCGTTTATCTAATAATTCAAATCACATTCACTCAGAAGTTTCATTAATATCTTATGCTTAACTGAATTACAATTCTTTACATTTAGAAAAACATTCAGACATTCATTCATTCGCTTCTTTATTATCTGTTTTATATATCATTTAAAATTATACTAATTATTAGCAAAAATTGATTTCTTATTCGTTTTTAAATAGACTTTTTTCAATAATTTAATTAATATTTAGAATATAACTCTAAACTGTTTTCAGTTGTGAATTCTGAGGGAGAACTGGATTTGATTCAATGATAAGTCGATATAATGTCTACAATAAAGACAACTTTGTTTTGAGAACACATTTTCACATTTCTGCTATGATTTCACGAAATGAGTCTTTCGACTCTTCTTTTCAAATCACTGTAATAATGCTAAACAGTACTGTACTGTCATAATGAGTTGAAAGACTCATCTCATTAAATCATATCAGATATTATTTCTATTGAGAGCTGTATTATAACAATAATTATTTATTTATTTCTGATTAACACTTAAATACAAATTTTATTTCATTACACGGAAAACATATTTTCTTATTTTGAGAGAAACTTAAAAATAAAGTTTTGTCTTATTTAACATTATTTTCGTTATTATACTCTGTATTAAAGTTTAAAATAACCTTTATTTGTCACAAATGGCAGCAAATATTTTATTGTCTGATTTGACTATTATTTTCATTTCGTTTTATGGTTTAAAAGAATTGAATAAAAATAAAAATACATTAAAAGAAAACAAATGAAATGAAAATAATTTCGTAAAATATTAAAAAATGATTTCTTTGCTGAAACCTTAATATATATATATATTGAATGAGAGTTGACATGATGTATGTTTTTGATGATTGGTTTATGGCATAAATACTGTGTTTATCATTACAATCGGAATTCACTTATAATTAGAAAACAAATTCAACGAACAAATGGTTTGAATGGTTTGTATAAACAATGAGTGGTTTAGAGGTTTAGACAGATTTCGAGAAGCGAACAATTCATCAAAATATTGATTAGAATAACGCCTTTCCATTCAATCAGTCAACGGATCGCTTGGACTCAGATTCCATTCAACCAATAGTTGGCATTAATTTTCAATGAAATCTATTTTCAGTGTTTCGTGAGCACCAAAACCCCAATAAATTACTTTTTATCAAAAATTCAGTTTTCAATTTTCACTAATTGTTTGATCAAAACGTTGAAACATTTTGCGATTTAAATAATGTTTTCATAAAACATAAAAAGAGTCATCACATCGTCCGATACGGGCCTTTCATTTTCAGGTATTGTATGACAAGAGATGGGCCGCCGTTCACGATATCGGTTGGGATTTGAGATAACGGACAGTTCTCTATAGACATTATCTGTAGGTTCGCGCACAGGGCTAACTCGAACGGAAGGCTATGCAGGTTCTGGTTGTCGTTTATGTATAGTGACTCCAGACTTTCTAAAGTGCCTGAAAATAGCAATCAATTCATTAAATACATTCAAACGCTCATCCATTCAATTCAATACATACCGATCTCTTCAGGAATTGAACTTAAATTGTTTTCACCGACACTTAAATACGTGAGTTTAGCTAAATGTCCGATCGCTCGGGGAAGGGCTTGCAATTGGTTGCTTTGGACGATCAGCTTCTGGAGCTCTCTTAAAAATCCTAAACAAAAGCCAATCAATCAAATGAATTGGTACTGAACTGAAGTCAAGTGCTCAACAAACCTATTTCGTTGGGAAGGGCTTCTAATTTGTTTTCCTCTAAGTCTAGAATTCGAAGTTTGCGGAGATTGCCGACAGTTGGGGGCAGTCGTCGTAAATTGTTATTACTTAAGATTAGGACTTCGAGGTTCTCTAAGTGCTGAATGTCTTCAGGAATTTTAGTCAACTGATTGGTTCCCAGATTGAGTTCAACCATATTAGTCCAGGTGCCGATGTCCAGGGGTAGAGACGTTAACTGATTGTCTTTCATATTAAGCTTGGTCAGATTGCGGGCCCGCGAAAAGATACCGAACGGCACTTTGTTGATCTTATTGTGTTCCATATTTATTGACTACCGGTGCCACACGAGCCATGCAAACAATCAGTATTAACAATCAAGTCATCGATTAATAACAATCATATCACTCACATAAACATTACAGAACTGGGAGGGCCCGCCCACTGGATATGATGTGAATTGATTTCTGGAGAGTGTAAGTGTAGTTAGATTGGACAGACTAGATAGCAGACCCTCTGGCAGTTGGCACAGGGAGTTGTTCTCCACATTGAATTCAGTCAAATTGATGCAATTGCTTAATGACTTCGGGATTGACATCAATCGGTTGTATCTGTTGAGCAAAATTGCCGATTCATTACTCATTCACATCCATACAACTCATTATTGCCATTAAAGAATCGCTCAAATAATTCCTCAAGAATATTGTTTTTGATTCATAATTATATTCGTAATTACATAAAAATGTCGATAGTATTATAATTATAATTAATTATTAATGGTAAATCAATGCATATTCGTTTATAAATAAATTTAATAGCTACTGTATTAGTTGCCAGAATAATAGTCAAGTGCCGCATATATCGTATAAATAACAGAATCGCAACAAAATATCTCTTTTTGTTGTACAGAATTGTCGTAAAAACCGAAATTCACTCAATGATTATGAATATAATAAAACAAAAGAATTAATTATTGCTTAAAATCAGTATAAATTAATAATTGTCAATACTAATGAAAATTGTTTCACATTGAAAATTACATTAAACACTATTTGTATGGTTTGATTGAAAATGAATATACAAATTAACGACAACCCGCCCACCCTTTACTGATGAAGCTTAAATAGTGCCGATATTTTGCAAAATATGTTTACGCGTAAGAAATGAAAAGATTAAAATTTGTTTAAATGACAAAAATTTTTATACAAATGCAATATGAAAAAAGATGTAAACATTTTTGTCAAATCCAATAAGTAACCAAAATTATGTACATTTAATGGTTGAATATTAATCTATATCTTTGTATAATCACTAATTTTAATATTACTAATCATTAATATAATAAGCAGATAATAAGATCTAAATATTATTTAAAATCTTGTAATCATGAATAATTTATAAGTAATAATTGATAATCGCATGGACTAATCAGTTGCAAAATAAATAGATATGGATTATAATGTGAATGAAATTAGTTAAAATAAAATCTATTCACAAATACATATAATACATATCATACGATACAATATAATTGTATGAAATATTGAAATGTCTCATAGTCAGCAGAAATAGCTCAACAAATGTGGCGAATTTGCGCACAATTTTAATAAATATAGTCTCAATAAATAATAGGAGTGGAGGCGGGAGGCGGGGAAGGGCCGCAGTACTGCCACTAATAATACGGCACTTATTTATATAGATTTCTGATGAGTCTTATTTAATGATGATTTCATTTTAAGCACCAGACAATAGAAAACTTTCAAATTATGAACATATATTTGGCACTAAACTAATCAAATGACTTTCATTTAAAGCATTGAATAACAGAATAAAAGGCAAAAAAACTATAGAATCACATAAAATGGTGACAAACCTGAGGCCAAGTCTCGTCAAACTGACCAATTGTCCTATAGTTTCGGGAATATCTACGAGTTCATTGTGCTGGACATCTAATGTCGTCAATTGTATACAATTTCCGATTTCTGCAATTTGAATCACAATTGGAGGCAACAAAATATGACGGTTATTGTCAATAACTGAATGTCATACAAATGTATTATACAAGTGGTGTCAAAGATTTCTAACCGTTTGGCAGATGCTCTAAATGGTTGTTGGAAGCGTCGAGAGTGACCAGTTGTGTGAGCCGTCCCACACCACCCGGCAGTTCCTTAATCTTGTTTTCCCTAAGACTAAGCATTGTTAGGTTCTGCAAGAATATAAGGCATTCATAGTGAGTAATAATGCATATGTAATGGCAATTTGTTGAATCAAATCAATGGTTAACTGTTAACAATAAACCATTTTTACCGTTAAATGAGAGATGTTTTCGCCGACTATTTTGATACGATTGAAGCGGAGGTGAAGTGTTGTGAGAGAAGTGAGTTTATAGACCACATCAGGAATCTGTGTGAAAGTACAGTAGCTCTATATATAGTTCCGTATATAACGGTAATGCAATAGCGATCGATTGGCAAGCAATGCAATGCAATGCAATGGCAATTGAGTGGCAATACCTCATTGAGTTTGTTGTGTCTGAGATCAAGTACTTTAAGCACTTTAAGATTGGCCAAAGAGTCGGGCAAACTGGTCAACGAGTTCTCGTTTACGGCTAACATTTGCAACTCAACTAAGTTTCCGATCTCTCGCGGAAGAGTCACTAATTTGTTTTGATATAAATAAAACTCAACCAAATGTGTCAACTCTTTGACGGAAGCGGGAAGTGTTGTGAGCGAGCACTTCGTCAGATCGAGTCGTGTGGAGCCCTCGTCTCTGCACCGCTGGAACTCCTTCTCCACGTCCAGATCGGCCTGAAGGGAGTGCTTCTTCCTGGTGGCCGGCTTTGCTTTGGTCTGTCCCGGGTGGTGGATCATCACCTGCTTCGGCCGCACCGACAGCTCACCCGACACTACACCCAACTTCTTCTCCTAAACAAATCAGTTTCCCATTAGACATGACTTTCTCGTGTCAATCAAATGCTCAAACAAAGTGAGCCTCACTTTCACACGAATCTCACAATCGAGACAAACCTTTGTTGCTTTGAATGATTGAAAACAATTACTAAATAAAGACTCCATTTTTACAATATTTACAAAAATTTTAATCAATTTACACCTAATATTTTGTTTTGTAATACAAATTCATATTAATTTCACTTTAATT